ACACACACACACACACACACACACACACACACACACACACACACACACACACAGAAGGCCAAGGAAATGACTCACCTGATACTTGTTCATTTTTTGCTGCTTTTGGGAAAGGACAGAAACTATGAAGCCAGAACAGGGAAAGTTGGAAAACAGAAGTCTTAAAAGACCTTATCTTGCAGCTCAGGAATCACCTGTGAGAAATTTCCATATATTTTAGTAAAACATAAACCCCTAGGAAAATACCCCTTTGAGCCATGAAGAGGAATAGGAGGACCATGATAAAGGAGTTACCCACCTGTCCATTGGTGACTCTGATATAATCATGATGAATCTGGGAAAATTTTGAGTGAATCTAAACATTTCTTTCCTACTGGCCATTCAGTCCATTTAGTAAATGGACAAAAGAATTGAAAACCTTAAACATCCAAAGATAGGTTAGGCAAGGTATATAATATATATCCAAGGTGTTTAATATATATCCAAAGTATGGCCCCCAGTGCTGGCATTACAAATGTTAAAAAGAAATACTCATATGGAAGTGTTTAAGTTACATAACAGTTTTTCCTATTAATATTATAAACCCCACAAAGTTAGAAAGTCTTCAAAGCCCTCAAAAATTAACATGTTTCCTCTCCCTAAATTGCAGTTTCTCCAGAATCACTTCTCCAAGAAACTTGTTTTGACTTAAACATGGTACTGTGGACGACCTGGAGACCTGTTCTGTGCTAGTCTCTGCTATTAACAAACTTAGTGACTTCGTTTCAATGCTATTATCTAACATGAGAAGGAATTGGATCATTTTGAACATCCTTTCCTGTACCATTTTGATTCTGTAAGTCTTCACTCATTGCCACAAATCCAGACAGTACCCTGGAATTCACTGTCCCCTCCAATCTTGGGCTGGGCCTTAAGGTAAAAATTAATTAGGCCTTGAAGAATTTTGACATGGCCATCTCATCTTCTGACAGCCACACAAATCTAAACCTTAAAATAACAATTTGACACCATAAATCCCAAAACACTTTATCTAGGTAGCGAAAGGTAACTAAATGCCTCTTCCAGCTGGCATGATGCTTACAAAACTTAAGTCCAGACACACCTGCCAAACAGAGACATAACACTTTCTAAGAAACATGGAGCCCCGATGAAATGCCAGTTTTCGTCTGTTAACAAAGTCTGTCCCATTTCCCCTCTCTAGAAACTAGAGGGTTCCCAGCTTCTCCAATAAGACTTAAAATTCAGGGCTCAACTTAACGGTTTCAGTTTACGTGTTAGCAGCCCTCTGAGAATAGGAACAGGCCGGAGAATGCAAGAAGGGCCTTAATTAGCCTTTTCACACAAGAGTTCTGAGAAAGCCTCAAGAATTTTTGGAAATAGAACTCTACGTGGTAAGGTTAGGTCTACCACACTCACAGTTTTGCTCAGGGACAATTACGGTACTAAATACAACCGAAGACTGGATTTTATCGTGGGAAACAGCATGAACCAGAGTAAAACAATGAGAATTTACCCACCTTCCTCCGCTAGTCCTGAGTACACCCATTTATCGCTAAACCTCTAGTACTCGTATTAAAATGGAGCTGATTAGTACCGATTCAAAGGATGGTTATGATGATATGATTAAATGAGCCAATAACGAAAAGAACAGCATACCTTGTAATAATAAAAGAAGCTCACCTTTATTGAGTCCTTATCTTACTTTATATATACAGTCCTATTTAATACAGCAAACAACCCCAGTGGAATTATTTTTGGAATTATTACTGGAATTATTTTACAGATGAGTGCCCGGGTCGTACCGAGGTCGTCCTGCTCGGTTCCTGGCGGGAGCAGGACGCACGCAGGTCCCCCGGGCTTGACAGCGCTGCGACGCCAGCAGCCACGCCAGCAGCCACGCCAGCGCGGACGTGGCGGGCCCGGGGTCCACGTCACAAAAGCCGTCCCCCCCGCGTCCCTCCCCGCTCCCCCCGCGCCCCCGGCCAACTCGGGCCGCCCGGCTCCGCAGGTCGAGAGCCAGGACGGTGGACAACGGGCAATCCCCCGCAAAGCCCCCTGCCTGACCCCCCTCCCCAGTCCTCCTCGGAGGCCAGCTGGGCGCTCAGAGGGGGGCGGCGGCGCCTTGCAGGTTCTCCGACGCGGCGCAGCCGCAGAGACCCGGCTTCCCCCCAGCCCTCCCGGCCACACACCTGCAGGGCAAGGCCACCGCTCCCGGCCCGCGCAGGTTCCAGGCCCCGCCCTCTGTCGCACCGCGCAGACCTGAAGACTCCAGAGTGCTCTCCCGCCCCGGGGCGTGAGACAAGATGGCGACTATCAAAAGGAGGTGGGGTTGCGCATGCGCAAGAGGCCCCCGCGCCTCACTCTGAAAATACACTTCCCAGGAGCCTCCGCAGCATCTTCGCTTTGGACAACGTATGATATTCGACCTCTTCCAGCCGCTTGAGTACTGCTGGGATTTTCTGGAGGCTATCACTCAGAGAGAGGGCTAATTTGACCTGGCAGCCCGCAATGTGGGGGCTTGAAAACAAAACCAGCACTGGATAAAGAAAGTACTTGTCCCCCGGCCGCTCCCCCGCTTGTGTGCACTCTCTGACAAATAATCTTTAAAAAAAGAAAGTACTTGTAACTAAGTACAATAGTACATTCAAAGAATAATATCCTGTAACGTCTGAATTTAAGCTTTCAAAATTATGCAAATGATACATGAAACTTGTAATAAAGAGAAAATATGTATAGGCTAAAACAGAAGACTAGTGACACACATACCACTGTCCAAAAAAAAAAAGAGTTTAATGTGAGTGCACAGTCTGAGATTTTTACTCATTTTATGTTAATGGTATAAAATATTTTAATTCCTTTCACTAGGGAATATATATTAAATATGTAGTGATTTCCTGGTCAGTAACGTCGTGACAGTAATTTACTCTTTCTTGTGCCAACAGAAACGAGTTTCCATTCAAGGTAATGACAAAAATATTAATTTTTTTTGGTAAGATTAATTTTAAAACATAAAATCCATATAGAGAAAATATACGTACATACCCACGTAGCTGGCGTTCAGGGATGCAGGAACACCTGCCTGTGGGAGTCCCAAATAGAGCAAGTCTGGCCACTCAGCGCTGACAAAAATGCAAAGAAAGAGAAAGGAACCATGGTGAAACAGGAAAGGAATTTATTTCGGTGAGGCCAATACAAGGAAGACGGTGGACTAGCATCTCAAAGACTGTCTCCAAAGTGCTAAAAAATATTTCCAGGTTTATGTAAGAAAGAAAAATGTGGGGCAAAAGACAGTAGGTACTACAGGTCGGCAGTTGAGGGTCCAATGGAATCCTTGTCTCGGAGTCAAACATGGGTGGGGGCCTGAGGGCTCAGGCTAGTCCTTATTCCCTAAGTGGGTAGCGTCTGTTAGGGGTGGGATTCTTTACTCTCTTGGTCTTCCACCTGAGCCAAGAGAAGCTGGAAAGAAGAAACCAACCAGAAAGTTTGAGGTCAAAATGGAGGCAACTGAAATCCTCTTTTATATACACATACCAATTTTCTAGATGGACGGTTGGAGAAATAATTAAAAATAAAAGGTCTTCTTAGAATTCTGCCCAAACAAGTGATTTCAGATTTTGGCCTGGGGAACCATGGATGTAGTTACTATTTATTGATGAAGGATAGTTCACACATAGATATACAAGTATTTTTAGATAATAAATGTATCATTTTTATTTACTGTTATGTTTGTTTAGTACCTGCCTTATTCTCAAGAGAGTTTGTGGTGGTGACTCCCACAACTGATGGACACACAAAAATATACAAATCATACAGCAATAACCTCTTTCACAAAAATGCATACACACAGACTCACTGACACAATAAATACATTTACGTAACCTGACTGGAAATAATGTCTATTTGACCGCTTACCTTGTGACAGACACTGTCATATCTTCATGAATACATACGTTTTATAGATAGCTCTGTTTTGTTACTGGCATATTTTTTTAAATTTCAGAATATATTTTGAATATCCCTTGTATCATTTAATATATTTCTATCACATTTAAAGGCTGCTGCTTGGGGCGCCTGGGTGGCTCAGTCGTTAAGCGTCTGCCTTTGGTTCAGGTCATGATCCCAGTGTCTTGGGATCAAGCCCCGCATCGGGCTCCCTGCTCCACGGGGAGGCTGCTTCTCCCTCTCCCACTGCCTCTGCTTGTGTTCCCTCTCTGGCTGTCTCTCTCTGTCAGATAAATAAATAAAATCTTAAAAAAATAAAAAAGGCTGCTGCTTGTTATTGTACTTTGTGGATGAGCATATTTTACCCATAAATTTTTGAATATTCTTACTGACTCAAACTGTGAAGGGAATTCTTTATATAAATCTTTTAATTACAGCATATAACCCAATAAGTGGAATTACTTGAGTGAAGTACTTATTTAAAATCTTTTAAGTATGCATATATTTTCTGGTTTAGTTAAAAAAAAATATTGCTTACTTAATTTTGAAAAATTCCTTTTCTTCAATTTTGAGACAAACTGCTTGGTAGAGAGATGTTATCTTCTTAATGTATTACTGTATTCCATCTTTTTAACATTTTAATTAAATTCCCTATTCACAAGAACAGATAACTGACAAACATCTTCCTTTTTATTAGTTTTGTGTCTAAAAGATACACCCAGTTCTTTTTACTTTTTTCTTCTTTTACTGAAGTTTCTATTTTCAATCTTAAAATAACAAAGAAAAATGATCACCCATTTACCATTTTCTATACTGGACAAATTTCACATTTTGCCATATTTATCTTGTGTTTGCGAAAACATTTTAAAATAAATTAGATATATTTCACTCTTTAATACTTCAGTATATATTTCCAAAACTACGTTCTTTAATAGCGCACCTATAATCAAACTCCCATGATGTCCGCAAAAGTCTTTCAAAGAGTTGTTTTTTGTTTTTTGTTTTGCCAAACCAGGATGCTCTAAAGGACCACAAATTACGTTTAGTAGTTCTTACACGTGAGGCCTAACCTCCGGGAGTGGAGTAGGGGGCGGCCTCTGAAAACGCCAGAGAGAGCTACAGACCCTCCACAGCAACCACCGCCCTACTCTTTGAATAAGACAGGTTTATTTAC